TTGTGTGTCTGGGTGTTGCATGTCAGTTGTGATTTGTGTTTATAATGTCAAATGTGTTAACAATGGGTATGGGTTTTCTTCTTTGGATTGTGTGCCACGTGGCACTCACCTCACTTACTTTTAGTTACCAGAAACCCTTAGTATGATTCAGTGTTGTATGGCACCCATTGATGTGACATGTACCAGTCCTTATGTGTAAAACATAAAATGCCCTTAGTGCGCTTTTTCGGAATGTGACACCCAATTACATGGCACGTGAAAAGCGACACCCAATTACATGGCACGTGACTTCCCTCACGCGACTTTTCTCAAATTGAAAACAGCACAATCAAGCTGCGCGGCTCACGCGCATTAAAAACAATTCTCGTGTCCAGCTGTAACGCTAACACAAACAACCAAATTAAATGGCAAATGCGTCATTTCACAAACAGAAGGACCAAACAGAACATTAGAAAACATTTGGGACCAAATGGATCATAAGTTCAACATTTAGGATTTATTGGTAACTTTTCCTATAAAAAAAGTATTTTTTTTTTTCATTTTTTTATCAAATTAATTTTTAGTATGTGTTTAGTGTAATAGATGGCTATTTTTGTTGATATTTTTTTATGGTTATCATGTAAGAGATAGTCGTATTTGTTGTTAGGACTTTTTTTAAGTGTGCCTTGCATATGGTATACAAGGCATTTACGACCTTGCATTTACACCTTCTTAAGTGTGCATTTACGACATTTTTTTGCATTTACACCTTGCATATGGTGTGCAACCTTAAGGGAGTTGCACACTTAAACATTACCCTTGTTGTTAACAGATATTTTTGGATAATAATGATGATTATTAGGCTTTTAATATGTAATTAATATGTTTAATATATGAAATGTTTTTAGTTTTAAATTTTTTGATTTAATGGATTAGTTTAATAATTACATCAAAATTGTTGCCATTTTTAATTTTTAAAAAAATAGAAACTAATTTAATGAAAAAAATTATATAAAAAAAAAAACTATTTCTACCGTCCCAAAGATAAAATTATATTAAAATGATGTGTTTTTAAATTTTTTTCACCAATTTAATAAAAATTCTGAAAATAGATTCTGACAAACCAAACTAAACAAACTTTTATAACCAATAAAGTTCCAGTATTATTTATTAAAAAAAGGTCATTACATTTCAAACAACATATGAATTAACCCGCACAAAATAAGTTGTATGACAACTTTATTCTTGAAATAGACCGTTTACAAAGAAAATAATTTTTTGTTAGAAATAAGATTCAAAATTAAATACATTACAATTAAAAAGTTTTGAATAAAAATTACACAAGACATAAATTACAAAAACTATTAATATAATTGGCTGATTTAAAAAATAAATTGCATAAAAAATTATAAAAAAAAGGATCCAGCTTGTCTCAAGTTGAGATCAAGACTGGATCCGTCCAGTTCGGCCCATGGGATCTATTTTTGGGCCCGTTTTCATAATTCGAACCGTCAATGTGTAGAACTCGTCGAGTACTACATGTCTATAAAAAATTACGTTGGTCGGATATCAATAGCTATGTGATCAAATTAGTTTTGTATAAAAAAATAAACGGTGAAACAATTAACGGTTGATAAAAAACTGTTTTGTTCATATAGCTATCGATATCCGATCAATGTGATTTTTTACAGGCATATAGTACTCGACGAGTTCTACGCATTGGACGGTTCGGATTATCAAAACGGGACCCGTAGTGAGTCCTTACAGACTCAATAATACGATCCAGTCCGATCTTGGACTCGACCAAAGCCACTGCCTAAAAAAACAAATTACAATGGCCAGCAGGTGCCTTCTCTCATACAGCTGCTAGTGGGCTCACCGTATGCCGTTGCGTTAGCGCTTGACTCGAAAACTTTCACTGCCATTAGCTTATTCCTCAAAACAACAGGCACGCACTGCCATTAGCCTGCCCATTGGGACATTTAAAATGAGTTATAGAGGAGTATTTTGGAAAGTTAGTAAAAGTTAGTTTTTTAATTTTTTTAATTTATTTTATTTTTTTGTAGATAAAAAATCTAAGAAATAATATGATTCAAAATAGATAAAGCGATAAAAATTGATTTTTTATTTTCTTCTCAAAAAGATCCCATAAGAGGAATAGCATCTTCAATGCAGATAATCTAAACAAGATCGAATTGTACTTTTAAGCATGTTAATATTTGCAAAGATCTTACACATTTCAAAGCCCGCTCGAGCATTGAAATTTTGTATAATTAAGTTTTTAATTATGTAAACCCAATATATGTAGTAGCACTTAAATCGTATATGTCTTTTTTGAAAATATGTTATTTTAACAACTTAACCTTTTTTTTTTTTACTTTTTTGATGAAGTGATTAAAAAATAATAATACTAAAGTTGATTTTTTTTATAAATAAAATAATACTCAAACATTTAACTCCAGAAGAATAAAGAAGGTATGAATAATACTCCTTTCAAATACTTTTAACCATAAAATAGTCAAACTTAAACTATTCTCACTATTTTTCTAAGTAAATTCTAAACGCTTTTTCTGAGTACTTCAAACTCCACTGTTCTAAACATTTTTCTTAATCTTTCTTCAATAACATACCTTTACTTGATTAGGAAATTTGGTGATAGATTTGAAAAGAGAGAGAAGAAGTGTGTAAAATTAAGTGAAACGTAAGTATATTTTATTTACATTTCACCTATTTTTTTTATTTTCTTTTTCAAATCTCTTCTCAAATTTCCCAATCAAACACAGCATTAATGATGTACTGAATTAGTGATTGGTGAATGCTAATTATTAATAGCTTCACTTGACAATGATTCTCTCTCTTGACAGGTTAGTAGCAAGATTTCCGTTGCTGCGTGACTTTGTTGGGAGATCTTTTTGTTAAGAATAATATTATATATACCGATTGATATATTAATTAGTATATAAATATAACACAATTTAAAAATTTTAATATTTATAATTTGTATAAGGGTAAATTAAAAATACATTTTTTTAAACTTGATTAAAATACAAATCACCACTGTGATTTTAAAAATTACATTTCACCCCCTAAAATTTTTAATTTCATAACAAATTATTCTTTTTATTAATAAATCATCAAGTCAATTAATAATTTTTAATGATATTAAAAATATGTTTCAATTAATAATTTAGATAATTTTATTATTGTATAGAAGAGTAATCATACATTTCATTTTTTTGGTTAATTTTGCTAAATAAAAAATTATAATAAAGAGGTATTAATTTATAATTTTTCAAATCACAAGAAACAATCTGTATTTTAAATAAACCTCAAAAGGTGTATTTGTAATTTACCCATTGTTTAATTAATGAAATCAATAATAATATCATAACATATGTCAGTACACTTATTGATACATTTATTAGTACATATAGCACTACTATTTTCTTAATTAACCACGATTATCTTCTGTTGATGGTAGTGCATTAACTAATATAAACCATACAAAATTACGCAAATGACCTTAAATTGGATTAAAAAAAAAAATGTACTGCGGGAACAAGTTCATAAAAATAACAGAATAATGTGTTAGCCCAGTGGCTGTGTAATTTTCTAAGACATCATAGATTCGACTCTTCCTCTCTCCTATATATCAAATCTATGCATGTTATTATCATATATTCATGAAAAATTAAGTGCCGGCTTGACACGACTATCAGGTTGCTTCATTAGAGATGGCAATTTGAACCCGGTCCGATGAGGACCCAACCCCCCGACCCCGAATTGAGCAGATTTTTCTCGAAAAATATCCCCGACGGGACGGGAATGGTATTCAAAAACCAATCCCCGAACAGTTTCAGGCCAAGGACGGAGAAATTACAGTCTATCCCCGATGTGAAATTACGATTTTACCCCTATACATATATATATATATATATGTATATATTAACCAAACCCGTGTCTCTCATCTCACAGATCATCTCACTTTCACTTCTCTTCTCTCTCAAAGAGTCGTGTCTCTCGTCTCTCTCTACCTCACTCACTCACTGACTTCTCTCTCTCTCAGATCCACCACCACTGCCATCCAGCTCGTACCACCACCACCACCGCGTCTCTCATCCAGATCTACCACCACCGCCGTCCAACTGGCACTGCCCCTTCACCTCCGTCGTCGACTCTCCACCTTCGTCCACCTAATCACTCTCGCACCTCTCCTCCACCTCTGTCTACCTCGCACCGCCGCTCCACCTCCTCCGTCGTCCATCGCGCCGATCTTTCTCCAGATCTAAGCCGCGACGGAGAAGATGAATATATATATATACATCGCGCCGATCTTCTCCACATCTTCTCCATCGTGCCAATCTTCTCGGTAATATATATACATATACATATATATATATATATGTATATATACATTTTGTTGTTATTGATGTTGATGATAATGATACTCTAATGGTTGATGTTCGAAAATCTTTTGGTGATGTTGTTGTTGTAGATCTGAAGTTGATTTTTATTTTTGGTTGGGAAATTTTCGGGGTCGGGGAAACCCGATCCCCGTTAGGGGGCGGGAATGGGGGCGGTGATAGCGTCCCCGTCGGGGATCGGGGTCGGAGACAGGGCCATTTCCACCATCGAGGATCGGGGACGGAGAGTGTGATCCCCGGCCCCGCCCCGCCCCGTTGCCATTCCTATGCTCCACTATAACCTGAGCATCACAAGTTCAGTATACAAAACAAAAACCCCTACCACTGCAGGAATAAAACTGCATTCATCTGAACCTTTCCAAACCCTGCAATGACTGCCCTTTATGTTGTGTTTAGTTGAGAGATTTGAGAGGAGAGATTTGAAAAAAAAAATGAAAAAGATAAGTAAAATGTGAATAAAACATGCCCCTATATTTCACCTAATTTCACACACCTTTCCCTTTCCAAATCCCTCTCCAAATTCCCCAACCAAACACAGTTGGAAAAGTCATGAAACTAGTTTAACATCTCCAACTCAAACTTAAGTACGCAGAAATATGAGGGCAGCAAAAGGAAAATAGTAGATTAAAGGGCCTGATGAACTCAATCTTGTTATTTACATTTTCTTTCAAGAGTTCACGGGTAGCTTTAAGGAAGAGCTACAAGGATTTACTGCAGTAAATTTCTCAGACATTCATGCCAACTTCTGATTTAAATACAACCCAGAGACAAAAGCAGTGTACAAAAAACAAGTGCTCCCATGGAGAGTATTAGGATGCTTTGGTCACCGGAAAGGGTCCCCCAACAATTGATACCTTCCTTCCTATCCTTGGAGAAACTAAGAATCACAAGGTAAAAATTAAATTATTAAAAACTCAAAACATCGTCTTTGTAGAAGTGAACAAATGAAAACTCAAAAATTGTCAAATCATGATCGATCAAAATGAAACCAACATAAAGTCACAGCCAAGATGCATATGAATTCATCTCCATCGATATTGCAGAAGGTATTACATACATATTATCTTCTTTTTCTTTCTTTCTTATGGATAATCGGTATATGCATATATGTGTATTCTTATGTATATTTTGTTTTATTTTCCCTAACGTCAAGACAAAAAATGAGAAGTACGTAGAGAGAGAGAGAGAGAGAGTAAAATTGACAAACCTGTCTTCTCCTTCGGCTTTGTATAATGTAGCACGAGCGGATCATCACATAACATGGCAGAAGAAAACCAGCAAATTGCAGAAGGGTAACCTGGAACTGAAATTAACCACGTTATACTACCCTTTATTTTATTTTATTTTTTGATCATCAACAAAAGAAAAATTATTAGGAAAGAAGAGTACAAGGCAATATGAGGACGAAGAATACTCAAATGAAGAGAATATGAAAGTATAAATTAACTAACTGAATACAAATCCCTGCTTTCACCTCTCATATAATATTCATAAAGTATTTGAGGCATTAATGAATGTAAATACATGTATATCTCTACACAAAATAGTCATTCATGATTAAAATAATGAAGATAGAAGTAGACATTGATGCATTTATGTATATTTTCACTTATGCATACATGTACACAAAATTTTTAAACATCATCATCTTGGACTTACATTAAAGAATGTTGACAACTCTTGCACTATCCCAAAATCTTTGGTGACCATCAAAACTTGGCGTATAAGCAAGATTAACATCAACTATATAGCAAACTTTTGATTAATCTCCCACTACTCTAAATTACTGCTTTGCCCTCAAGACAAAAGGTTCATAAAATAGCTTTTTTAGAATACTTAAAACTCCAATTTCCTAATATTAGGAAGGCAAAACTAATAATAGTTGTCAAATTTTCAGTAGGTATTTGGGTTACATACAATGATAGCCACAGAGCGGATGCAAGCAAGGCTACTATTTGCAAAACCATAGTTTACATCCAATTGAAAGTAGCATTCCCCTTTGAGTGGCCAATTCATTGACTCATCAATTAGAAATACAATAATAACTAATTTCAAATTTTTGTGGCAATAAATCCCAACATCTAAATATAATAGTTATAAATGAAGAGGCCACATAAAAACATGTCTAAATCTCAATCATGACATTCTCATAGTAACTAAATCTGCAGGTGTTACAAGACCCGTTGAGAACACTATAAATTGCCTTTACATGAAATCAAAAAAATTTCTTTGAGGTACTTCAATGAAAAGGTGTCAAACTATTTAACAAGCTTGTGACAAGTAGAGGATGCTAATATATTTATATAGTAAAGCAAAAGCAGCATTAGTATGAATGTTAAGCGCAAATCCATTCCATAGCAAACACAGGCTTTGGAACAGATCCATTCCATCTACCAAGGTTCTTTTTGTTTTTTTCCTTACAAATTTCTACTTTCTCCATAACCCATTTTATGCTCCATTTGCTTGCTTGCAAAGAAGACGGGGGGAAAGAGGAAAATAAAATATGCAATCTCACAACTATATGGGTTGGAATCATTATGATAGCTTTCAGTATTTTCTTTCCACAATCTGTACATCAACCTACTAGAGCATCATTTATAAACAAATGAAAATGAATCTCCGAAGCAAATTTTCCTAAAAGACCTTGAAGTGCAGATAACTTTCAAAGAAATTGGAGGATATATCCCATTAAAGAACCACAAATTTAAAAATTGAGTTCAGAACAGAAAGTTATAGGTGTGACGTAGCCTTCTTCAATTACCTAATATCAATGGCCATAACCTCAGGATTGCTCTTTGGTGGAAGAATGTAATTTGGAGAATAGACCTATTAAGAAATGGAAATACAACATCACTCTTCAAGTTGTTGCATATACTCAACATTCATGTAAACCTTTAGAAAAATAAGGAAGCTACAAAGTTCCAACCTGACTGCAAATTTCACAGGTGATATCACCTTTCTTGTTGCACCATCTTTGAATGCACTTCCTATGAGCAAACTACATGGCAGAGACGAAAACCTCAGAAGACATTCATAAATCTCAAACCTAACAACTAACTACAGAACGCCCATATATCTTTTGATAATGCAGATCAGTAAATTATGTGACTCATCCAAATGTTGAAATAAAAAATGCAAGATAAAAGCTCACGAACCGAATTACAAGAATATATTAATACACACACATATATTGAAACATGTAAACAAGGAAAATACCAAGAGAAGCACCCTTGATAACTATATAATCAGCATGAATTGAAAGAAATATCTCAAATGACAGCACAGAAGGTGCAAGGAACATATACCGGTAATGAAGAAAATCCAAAATACAGAAGTCTATTATTGCACATTGATGGTAAATAAAATATGAAATTTAAATGGATAAAAGTAAATATATTAGTCACTGTATACATTACACAACATGGAATTGACAATTAGAAAAGGAACTCCCACACAATTACCACAAGCACAAAACAGCAATGTTGATCCAAATGATTTAATAGAGGTATCCCAGGCACAGTGATTTAAACACAAAATGTGAATACCAAAACCAACTACTTAGGCAAATTAAATCACAATGGGTATTAGATTTAATTAAAAAAAAAAAAAAGTATGATTAAAGTAATTCAATAGAAATCCTAAAAAATATATCCATAAAATTAAATTGGGATGTCAAAGAACCACAAAATGTAAATGCAATGGTTAGGAAGAGTAATATGATCACCACAAATAGAAGTAAGTTAAAATATTAGGGAATGGGAAAGACCTAAATTACCGGTTGATGCGTTAGTAAAAAGGAAATGAGTTTATTTAATTTATCTATTCATGTAGCCTTTTTTGACAAAACATAATGGCGAAAATAATTCAAGTAATCGACCCCACTTGATTGACTGGGTTTGGAATGAATCATAAAACAAACACAAGATAAGTATTAACCATGTGGTACAAAATAGAGACAGGGAAGGAGGAGAGAGAGAGAGATGAAACAATAGGCACAGTAACTCAAAATTATGCTTAATCCTTTACAAAGAACAAGAGACAATTTCCAAGCAAACCAATGAATACCAACAAACCAAGGGAAAAAGAAAGCAGAAAGGAACCTTAATCATAATTAATAAACCAATTAATAATTTCTGATACTAGCTCAAATTTTCAAACAGCAACAAGCAGCAAGTAAACCACTTGCTAATATTAATATGGAGAATCTACCAAAAACCTAAGTGCATTAAAAAACAACAATACATGGAAATATTGCATATTGTTTGAATAAATACCAACAGTGCAAACAATTAATAAAGGCATTCATCAAATCACATTCAAAGCAGCATGGAAAATAGAACTTCATACAGTGAGAGTTCATATCTAATAACCCACACCACACTATGTAATAGATTCAACAAAGGAAAAATTCAAGGCCAAACCCATCTATCAAGCAAAGACACTGAAAATTAGAATAGAAAAGTAGGCATCTTTGGAAGCAATTTCATGGACTCCAAACTCCAATTACCTGAAGCCCAACAACACGACCTAGAAGAATTAGGATGAGGTGGAAATGTACCAAAAAATATGCACACACCCAAAAAACAAAATATTGAAATAAATGTAAGGATAGAGGGATAGAACACAAAACCCTAAAAATTTAAAAATAAATAAAACAAATAAAAAAGATGGCTAGAAAATTTTACTTGAAAGAAGTCCCTCAACCTCAAGTATATTCATTATGTTTCCAAAAAACAACAAAACTATGGAAAAAGGTAACACACAGATGCGCAGAGAGAGAGAGAGAGCGCGCATAGTTTCAACAAAAACAAATTCAAAGAGCACATAACTGCACAAAGAAGCACCCACATGGAAAAACCAACAAAAATAAATAAAGAAAAATTAGTCCTTCAAAGGGAACAAAGCACATTTTCCAAGCAAACCCAGGACAGATATGTGAAGCAAAAAAGTGAAATTTAAGAAAAGAGGAGAGAAAAAAAAGAAGAGAAAACCCAGAAAAAGTGAATGAACCTTGAGAGTGCCATTGCAGGCACAAGGAGCCTCCATCTGATGCTCTTCATCTTCCTCCTGACAAATCCTACACTCTCTCACAACCTTTTCTGAACAACCCACACCTCCACCATTGCTGTTCTTAACAAAGACCACTCCGCTATTATTAACAGAGGACAACAGATCATTATCAATCACTACTTCACCACCACTAGCACCTCTCAAGGGTCTTTCTCTCTCATTGACAGACTCAAAGCAAGCTGATGCTATTAGCCTATCAACACACACCATGAATTCATCCACCATCTCTCTCCTCTTTCTCTCTCTAGAATTAAAGAAGAATTGGGGGAAAAAACAGAACAGAGTGAGAGAGAGAGTGAGACCTGTGTTTTAAAAAGGTGTTGAGAGCTGTAGCCTGTGGGGGCGGAATTTACGAAATAGGACTGTTTTTATGTGTGTGGACTAAAATGCCCCTGTTGGGTTGGTGTATTTGCAATTAGGCCAGAAATATCCATTGCCCCAAGTACAGGAGGGTCAGGGAAAATTTATTTCTATTTTATTGTCAGATGATGCTACTGATACGCGTCAATCTGTCAGTGTCAAGCGCCATTTACTTCTAGATTCTTGCTTTAAAAAAATGTTAGAAATTTTAAATTTTTTAATTAGGAGTGATTTAGAATGATTTTAAATAAGTGTATTTTTAAATTTTTTATAAAATATAATTTGGGTATGGATTAGGTTTAAAGTGATATGGTAGAGAGATAATGTAACTTAAATAAGATGATATGACTTAAATAAAATAATAACTTTTTAATTTTTTTTAGATTATGATAAACAAGACCTAGATATCTTATACTAAGCCTCCGTTTGGGAAGTGGGTTGGCTTTTTGGTTTTTTGGCTTTTTTGGCTATTTTAGCCTGGGCTAAAAAGCTTAGTTTGGGAAGGGCTTTTTGGCTTTTTGGCTTTTTTGACTTTTTTTTTTAGAGAAGAATGTAATGATTATAGGTTGGATGTGATGTTTTGTTTGTTATGGCTAAAATAGCCTATTTTGTTTTTTGTGGCTAAAATAGCCAAAAAAGCCTGAAAAAGCCCTTGCCAAACGGAGGCTAAATATCTTATATAATTGTGAATATTACATTTAAACGGGACTCACCTCATAAAACATCTTTAAGAGCATCTATAATAAATGTGTTAGTGTATCTGTTAGGGTTAGTTTGGCACGTTTAAAAAAAAAGTCAAAAAGTCACTATGCTATTTAAGTTACATCATCTTATTTAAGTTACATCACTTCTCTAGCACATCACTTTAAACACAACTCATATTTCATAAAAAAAAATCAAAAAATACACTTATTTAGATCATTCCAAACAACCCCTTAGTATCAATTACTAATTTTTGACTAGCACAAAATACTATTAACTTGTGTGTTAATGTTAGTCATTAGTTTTGTGTGTTAATTGTGACTAGCGTTTTAACCAGTGAGAGAGGAAGAGAGAGAGAGAGAGAGGCGAATACTGAAAAGAGAGAGTAGGATCGTACGGCCAAATGTCTGATAGATCGTCCGGTCGGACATCCGAAAAGTGATGTTATGGGCCTGCGTGAGGATTAAGAAAGAGAAAATGACACCAAAGTTACAACCCAGATCATCCAAGAAGATTATTTGTTTTTCAAATTTTTGTCAACCGTAAACTCTTGTTTCTTTTTCTTCTTCCTGAGAAATTTTATTATAGTATACTTTTAGTAATTTTTTTGTTGTCCATTTTCAAGATCTGGAACTCAAAGATGGTGCTTGAGATCGAAATGAAGAACGAAGTAAAGGTCATATATATATATATATATATATACATATTCTTAATACACATTTTAACACATACATTAACATGTATACAAAATTAAAAATTTTATTTTATCTTTTTATAATTATTTTAATTGAAAAATCTCATTTTAATTCATGCTAACGAAGGCTAAGTAAAGTTGTAAGATTTCTTTCTTTCACTCGTTGGCCAAGTTTGTTTGATAGATTAACTTGGATGAGATTATTAGTGAGAGGATTGTTAGTGAAGAGATTGTTAATGTGTAGATTGTTAGTGAGGAGATTAAGTAAAAATGTGTTTGTTTTGATGATAGTATGGGAGATGATTAGTGATGAGATTATTAAATTATTTTTATATAAAATAAATAAATAAATTATTTCTATATTAAAAAAACTAAAACAAATATTAAAACAAATAGGTGCACTTGGTAAAAAAAAAATTATTATTTTTTATTTATATAAAATAGACTCAATCTCCTCACTATTTTTTTAATCTTATCTAAAATTCACCCAAATTAATCCTCCTATATAAAGAGATTACTAAGCCCCATTCACTACTAATTCTATGACATTTTATTACATCCAAACAAAGGCTTGGTAGGTCCTACAAATTGATAATCCAATCCACATTTCCAAACCCCCAATCAAATTTGACCGTTTTGTCATCCTACTTGCTTTAAGCCTTATTTGTCATTCCCTAAATAAGTTTATTTTTTTTAATTTTTTTATAACATTAATTAATATATATTTTTTTATTTTTTTAGAAAATTTTCAATATTTTAATCAATTAAAATATTTAAAAAGTTCACTAAAAATTTTAAAAAATAAGAATTGAAACTTGAAAATTAATTTTTGAAATTTAAACCAAATGTAATCGATTCAAACTCATCTATTTAATAAAGGGATTTAAATGGTTTCAGTTGAGGTGAAGTGCTAGTGGTGGTGGTAGTGGAGCGGCAGCGGTGGAAGTGGAGTGGCAGCAACAGTAGTGGTAAAGTAAGGCAGTGGTGATGGAAGAAAAATGGTAGTGGCAGCAGTGGTTATGGTAGTGGTGTGGCAGTAGTAGTGGTGGTGGTGGTAGTGGAGGCAGTGGAGAGGTGATGGTGGTAGTGGTGGTGATGCAGCGGCGGGGGCAACAGTAGTAGAGTAGTGGCAATGGTGGTGGTGAAGTACTAGCAGTGGTGGTATAAAGGTGATGGTGGTGGTGGTAAAGTGGCGGCGGGGGGAGGGGGGGTGGGAGAAAAACTTAATTCGAAAAATTATAACTCATAACCAAACTCACAACTCAAAACTCTATTGAAACAAACACACAACTTTCATAATCAAACTCTTTTTGAAATTCAATTCAAAAAGTCACTCTTTTTAAAAAAATAAAAAAAATAAATTACTGTGACAAATTAATTTTTAATTTTATTTATTTTTTGTTAATTTTAAATAAATAGCCAAATAATTTGTCATTTTGGTTTTAAAAAATAATTCATATATTTAAAAAATATCAAAAACAAATATAATTTTTTTTGTTACAAATAACAGGGGCAATTTCAAAAAAATTAAAATTAAAAAAATAAAAATATGCACTGTTCTGGTTAACCAGGTGGACGGCCGAGTAGATTCAAAAATTCAAAAACTCTCTGATTACCAAACATGTTGTGAAATGTGTTTTGAAATGTGAGGTTATAATCAATTTTTGAAAACTATATCCAAACAAAGAATTCTCATATTAGGATGGAATTATGATTCCAGCCCTAAAGAAAACACAACCACAATTACTCTTTGTTAGGTTGGAGAAAGCATAAAAGGGCATTTGCCTATTCATGTCATGCTCTTACACATTCATATCATAAGTTCCTCAATATTAATACTTATTTTTTTGTATTATCATTTTATATCATTTTGAGTTCATATCTAGTTTGTGTCATGCTAGTATGTAAATCCAAAAAATTCACCTTTAATCATACCAGTTATATGGACAAGTTAATGTAACGCTAATCTAATTTATATTTTACATGTTCGTTGGTTTCTTTTGAGTTTGTACCGACAACTAACATTTACCCACTAATTTTGTGTGTTCCCATCATATGGTGTAAAAAATTTATACAACAATGATAGAGACCACTAATTTTGGAACTCTAAAAAGATCACTAATGACATGGCACTCAATAAAAAAAGAAAAAAAATACAACACCAAGGCCAAAACATCAAATCATTCCTGGTGGGGCCCACTGCCACATTATTAGTGATAGCACTAATTAGTGCTCTCACTCATTTTCCAAATTTATAACCTCAATCACACTGCCCAGTGCTTATAAAAAAAAAAATAGAGCAGGTATCACTTGCCTAACAAAACTGTTTGAAATATTTAATTTATCACTTCTAAAAATTATTCATAATAATATGTTTGACAAGTGTCAAATTTTAATTTATCAAACATTTCATCATGTGATATTTGGGATTGTTTGGGATGTTCTAAATAAGTGCATTTTTGACTTTTTATGAAATATGGGTTGTGTTTGAAGTGATGTGGTAGAGAGGTGATGTGACTTAAATAAGATAGTGACTTTTTGACTTTTTAACTTTTTTTAAAGATGTCAAACTTTAGTCTTAATCTCAATATCACATTATTAAGAGTATTTAAGAATGATAAATTAAGAGATATGTATTGTTGTAAATCCAGTGGAATCTCCTTTTTATCTCTGAGGTGAATTTTCCACTGTCTTTGTAGTGTCAAGCCAGAGCCACTTTCATAGTTTTGCTTTGCCAGACCCTATCATGACTCTCAATCAAATAAACTTATTACCAAAGCAAACTTTCCAAAATTTCAATCTCCAAAGAAAGTGACAAACACAAAAGAACAAAAATAAAAGAAAAAGAGAAGTTGGATTTAAGTTCAATGCAAGTACCTTCCAATCTTTTTTCCCAATAAAAAGAGAATAGAAGGAAGGCAGAGTGTGGAAGACTAGAGAATGAGAGAGTCTTGGCTAATAGCACAAGGACGATATATGTTTTTGGATTTGCATTTGATTGTATGAAAGTTATGATAATGTTTCACGAGGGTGTCTTTATGGTACATTACAATACAACATCAAATTAGGTATATCGTACTTCATCAAAATATACCTAACATAATTAATGGTTTATTATTGGCCAATTATCTTTGGTTATTGTGGAAGGAAGGTATTCTTGAATTGGCAGGTATTGGATTATTTTTGTCCATTAGGCTGATCTTAAATTATCAAGATTCTACCTTTTGTTTTTATCTTTCCCTTTTTTTGTTTTATTTTATTTATTTTTTTACATTTGTTTTTTTATTATTATTATTATACTGCTGGTGATAATGGAATGGCGGAGTAAATGAGTGTTGGTGGAGGAGTTAATATCAGTTTAAACGTACGTTTAGGGGTCGTCTGGTAATGATTTTTTTAGTTAATTTTTTGGTTTTTTTAATTTTTTTAGCTCGGGATATTTTTGATTGTTTGGTTTTCTTATTTGGCTTTTTTGACTTTTTGATTTTTTTGACTTTTTTTTTTGGTGCCTTTTTGTGATTATTTAGCCCACAATAAAAACCAAAC